AATATACAGACAATTGGTATTGTCTATGCTTAGCTCATAATATGAGCATGGTATGGAAGGAAACACATTGCATTTTCTGTCTATCCTTTCTCTTGAGGACTGAAAACATACAGAAGTAGTACCAAATGATCTGCTTTCTCATGTTCCCTCTCTTTCCTTGTGTCTCTCTTAGCTGCCTTTCCCTTCTCTTTTCCAGCCTCTCTCTCTCTATGGCCATGACTGTCTTTTTCTTCCTTCTTCTCTGGCCCCCGATTTTCTTCCCTCCCCCTCTTTTTAACTGCTGTTCTTTTTAATACAGACCCTCCAGCAGAGTACAACCACATCTGTTGATTTTTCACGTTGTACACATTTGCACCTTTTTCTTAATGTTGCTTGAATCACTTAATTGTCGAAGAGAGAGTTCATTTTAATGTAAATCTTACAGTATTACATGAGTGAATGTATGAAAATAACTTGGAACAGTTTAAATTGGGCAGGATTCTGCCTTCATCATAATATGCTTCTTCAGCATTAAAATAAACTTGCAACACATGCTGAAAAAAGTGTGTAAGAAGTAAGTGCCTTTCACTTGGAGCCTTATCTGGAAGAAATAGGCGATCATTTAATGGAATTCAGGAATCATGAAATAATCCCAGCAACTGACAATGAGATTATTTGATTAGCATCATATAATGGCAGGCTAAGTACCTGGCCAACTTGCTCCCTTTCAATGGCTTTTCCAGCTTTAAAAATAAGAGGCATATTACCAAGTAATTGGTGGAGCAATTGTTTGAGACAGAAAACGTTTAGCAGGCAGTTAGATAATATATTTACCCCGTTGTTACAAAGTAGTTCCCAATTTATTTGCACAATTTAAACTGACACTGGGAAGTTTTTGGAATGACTTACAACAGTGAGCCTGGGATTTCCAAGCAGACACGATTACTCCTCTGTGTTCATGGTGAGGCCGAGGACAATCGGGCATGGCTGCCAAAAAGCTTGCAAATGCTGGGAGCTCCTGGCTGAACGCTGCCTGGCCAACCTCACAGCCACATCATGGCCAGCGTTCTGTAAGTCATGATCCAGTGGGAAGAGGAAACCAGGTTCTTATCAATCCCTGTCTTCACCTCATGCTGCTCTCTTCGGTGATTTCCTGAAGATCCTTGGTCCTTCTTCATTATAGAATGAAGGGTTTGGGAGAGATGATCCCCAAGGTTCCTCCTAACTCTAACATTATCTGATTCTGTGACAGCAAGATATCAATTGTAATTCAGTAATTATTTTTAAGCATCTATGATGTGCTGATCAGTGTGCTAGGCACAAGAATACATAAATACAAAAAAAAAAAAAAAAACCAGTCCCTGCCTACCAGGGGAAAATATTCTAATGGAAAAAGAGATAATCGATCAAGCAACCAGCCTTTATTAAACACCTGCTATGCACCAGGCCTGGGGCAGCTAGGTGGTTCAGGAGTGCTAAGTCTAAGTCAGGAGAACTCATCTTCCTGAGTTCAAATCTGGCTTCAGATACTGACTAGCTATGTGACCCTGGGCAAATTACTTAATGAACACTACTTGCCTCAGTTTCCTCATCTCTAAAATGAGTTGGAGAAGCAAATGGCAAAACCACTCCAGTATCTTTATCTTTGCCAAGAAAACCCCAAATAGAGTCTCAAAGATTAGGACGCGACTGAAAATGGCTGAACAACAACAAGTCACGTGCCAGATGCTGGGCTAGGTTTGGAAGATGCAAAGAACAGTTTGAAATAGTACCTGCCTACAAGAAGCTTTTATTCTATCCACAACATGCACGTGAATAGACAAAAATTATATCCAAAGTCAATACAAAGAAATTTGGCAGGGAGTACTTTAGGGATCAGGAAAGGCTTTGGATAGGAGAGGGGGATTGAGAAGAGATTTGAAGGAAGCCAGGAATTATCATACCAGATTCAGGGAACAGCCTTTGCAAAGGCCCAGAGGTGGGAGAAAAAAGGTCACATATATTACACAGAAAGTAGGAAAATAGAAAACCCACTAGTCATATAAAGCCAAAGTATGAAGACAAGATGGAAAAGTCCTTGCCACAGACAAGGGTACTGTGAGAAGGAAGCAAATATGGAAACAGCCTCCTTGAAGGCAGACCCCTTCGGTCCCTTGGTCAGTGCATTCTCACCTCCTAGTACAGAGACTGGGGCACGACATTTAATCAAAGACCATTAAATTGAGATTGCTTTGGTGGCCAGGGGCAGCCCTCTTTCTGGATGTGCTCAAAGCATTTTAATGCTAGCCCTTGGTCGACCATGGAGATAAAGTATGGTAGCACCGGGGAACAGGCTTTGAAAATAGAAATGCTTCTGTACTTGCACGTATAAGCACTCTCCCCATAAGGGAGGAGCTTCTCCTGGGCACTCTGCAGAGGGCACAGTATCCCTCCTTCCAGCAGGAATCGCCCCTTTGGTCTCTACAAACTCCTCCTGTTAGTGGCTGAGGATGCAGTGAAACCTTTTAAGGGGGGGCTACTGAAGAAGTGAGTTTCCAATGATGCTGCCTTGTGATTCAAAACAGAACTGGGCTGTGAGGAGGAAGTACATCGGCCCCTGGTTCCTCAGGAACCAAATATCCCTGAGTCAGACTTTCACATGTGACACACGGCTGGCCTCCCCAGGGAGCCTACAGCAACACATTTCAAAGTAAGAATTAATTCCGAGACATTTCTTCCCCTAGGACTGTGTTAGCCTAAAGTTGTCTATTTTCCTCTGCACTTCCATTCCAAATTAGAGAAGGGACTTGGAGAAGTGATATGTATTGATCACTTCTACCTAAAAGGCACATTGCACTCTCCTGCTTTTCCTCATACTTTTCTGGGCTTGACATTCCAGAGTCCTTCACTGTCATGTCATCCTCCTTCACACGTGCTCGAGTGTGCACTCACGCATACACACACACACATACACATACCCCCCACATATACACACCCCCACACACACACTCACACACACATACACATATACACACACCCCACACACACACTCACACACACTCACGCTCACACTCACACACACTCACACACATATACACACATATACATAC